CATGTATAAATAAATAAATACATAGTTGAACCGTCTTCATGTGTATTTTTCATATGCGCGTATGTAATGGGAAGAATAATCCATGCGTAAAAAAAATCTCTACATATAGACAGAAACGTAAGACCCGACTAAATTTAAAAAGAGGAAACATGAAGAGAATGATACATAGAAGTCAACGATAGCAAGCTACGAGAAGGAATAAAGTCAAATGGGTTAAAACCTAAACTAAGGTAACACTACTCTGCTACCCTAGTTCTAAGCTTTCATAAATTCAAATGACAGAAACATATAAAAAGTAGAAGTCATGGAAATTACTACAAAGGCATTAAAAGAAAACAGATGAGACACCCTATGGATGTGACTCGCACTACTCGACTACCCTGGTCTTAAGTCTTCATACTTTCCTATAAGAGGTCATATCCTCGGTAAGGGCTAAATCCTTCAAATCAAATCTCAAGCAGTCTTCCCACTTCCGCCTTGGTCGTCATTTCCTTCTAGCACCATCGACTGTTATAGACTCTACCCTCCTGACCGCATCCGATGATTATCGCCGAAAGACATGCCCAAACCACCGTAGTCTTCCCTCCCTCAATTTTTCGGATACAGACACCACCCTAAGGACATACTAATAGCAGAGTTTGGTATCATGTCCCACAGAGTCCTACCACATGCCCATCAAAACATTCTCATTTCTGCGGCCTCCATTCTCCTTACGTGATCCTTCTTGATTGCCCAACATTCTAATCCATACAGCAGCGCTGGTCTTATTGCCATTCTATAAAATTTTCCCTTAAGTTTTAGAGGCACCTTCTTGTCACACAAAACTCCAGTAGCAGCCCTCCACTTTAGCCATCCCACCTTTATACGGTGTGTAACATCATCATCTACACCCCCATCTTTATATATCATAGATCCTAGGTACTTGAAACAATCCTTTGATGGGAGAACGTGTCCTTCTATGCGTACTTCTACATTTTCATCGTTTTGGTTCCCACTGAAGTTTGAACATAAATACTCTGTCTTTTCAATATTGATCCTTAGACATTTTTGTTGCAAAGCAGTCTTCCAGGTAGCCAGTCTACTATTAAGCTCAGATTTGTTTCAGTAACTAGGACAATGTCGTCAGCGAAAAGCATACACCATGGAACACCGTCTGGTGTCGCACAATAGATGTCGTCCATAATCAAGGCGAAGATGTAAGGGCTAAGAGCCGACCCCTGGCGGAGTCTGATTTCTACCAGGAATGCCTCGGTGTCGCCAACTGTAGTCCTGACGTATGTAGTAGATCTACAGTATATATCACGAATCGCCCAGATATAAGCAAATGGGATCCGTCTCGTTTCCAAGGTCTTCCAGATCGTATCGCGAGGAACGCTATCATACGCCTTCTCAAGGTCAATGAACGCCATATGAAGATCTCTATTTTTTCCCTATATTTCTCTATAAGCCGTCGAAGTAGATGAATCGCCTCCGTAGTAGACCTGCCTGACATAAAGCCAAATTGGTTTTCCGAAACCTAGTAAACTGTCTTAACTAGCCTCTATCACCCTTTCCCATAGCTTTATGGAATGGCTGAGTAGTTTAATACCTCTGTAGTTGCCACAACGTTGGGGATCTCCTTTATTCTTATAGATTGGTATCACCATAGACTCTCTCCACTCCTCAGGCATCTTGGTAGTCTCTAAAATAATATAAAAGATGTTGGTCAACCACTTAACTCTCTCTTCTCCTAGGAACAACCACATAGTGATAGAAATTTGATCTGGACCGACAGCTTTGTCCCTCCCCATCTTTCTAAGAGCCATTTTGCCTTCCTCAAACCCAATCCTACTTGTAGGGCAGTCATTGGCCGTAGTATGATGGTCGGTTGACCCATCAACGATACTATCTCTACAGGGAGAGACACAATCATTAAATAAGTCAAAGAAGTAACTACCCCAAACCCTCTTAATATCATGATTTTTCACTAAAAGAACATCATTGTTGTTCTTAATAAACCTAATGCTACCTAGATCCTTTTTCCTATTCTCCTTGGATTTTGCAAGCCTGAAGATGCCGTTTTGTCCATCTTTGGTGTCTAATCTCTTGTACATTTCCTCGTATGCCTTATCCTTTGCTTTAGCCACCGTTTTATTGGCTTCCCGCTTTGCCTCCTTGTATCTTTGTTTAGCTCTCGATCTTTCTTCGTCGTCATTGCATTGTAGAAACTCCTTGAAGCAAGTTTGCTTATATAAAAATTCACATAGAAATATGATATAATTTAATTATTCAATTCAATAGTGACAAAAATAATTGTCGTCACAAATCACCAGCAAAAATTAGTGACAAAATATTTTCTTCACAATTATAAATAATAATAGTGACTACTTAATATATTGTCACTATTACAATTTTTCTCACAAAAAATAAGTTGACGCCAATTCGAGCATATTATTAATGACTAATTAATAATGACAACTAGGTTTTGGTCACAATAAAACACTATTATTGATCAATTACTTGTGATGTACTTTAAAATTTTAACAATTATTACCTAAAAGTGACCAAACAAAAATAAGTCACAATTACTCATTTTAAAAGTGACAAAAATAATCTTCAACCCATATAACATACTTTCTAATGAAATTCTTTAATGTCACAATTAAATGCTCACTAAAGATCTTATTTCTTGCAGTGATCCTCCTCTGAATTAAAATATAAATTATGTTGTTTTTCATCTACCTTGTTAAACGGGTACTTAGGACAATATTTCATATGATTATGCATAACATTAGTTTCACTTTTAGTTGGACATTTAAGGGGTTTTTCACAATAATTGCAGCTACATTTGAGTGTTTAAATCAACCCGAAAATTGAACCGTAAAAGATAAACCAGAATCGAATCGAACCATTTTGCCCTATTCGTGTCAATTTTTTGGTTTTTTCAGTTTCATTGCTTAACCCTAATGATATTTATATTAACAGTGATGCAAAATATGTTGTTATCACGAGACATATATCAAAATGATTCATGCTTGTTGTTACTCAAACATCCATGCATATGTGTATCGTATGCTTATATTATGAATCATATGAATTATCATATCATAATTGTATACCACTGAGCTTCTCAAGTTTAATGTTCAGATATTTTCATTCGTACGTGACTTGGTCGGATAGCATCCGAATTATGAGGGCTTCAACAGAGAGGGATTCTTAGACCGAACTATTTTCAGAGTACAATAGTTAAGTTCTTGTTTGGGTTATATATTCATAGGACTTTATGTGTTATATTAATGATATGTAACTCTATTACTTTGATTTAAACTATGAAACTGTATACTTTTGAGAAGATTATGTTTTACAAGTTTTTGATAATGAGATTTTAAAATAAATGATTAATCATTTTAATAATTTCATGCGATATTCGAATCTTTAATAATTAAAAGTATTACACATATGATTCAATCTTTAGATGCAAATAAACAGTCCACCCACCCTATTCACTATTTTATAAAATTTAATGAAGTTCCATTGAGAATTGATTCCCTTCCCCTCCACCCACCCCCATTATGAAACCCCTTAGGTAGCAAGCAATTGAAGGCCTTTTTTCCCATTCTTACAATGAATGTTGTTGACACTGCACTTCCTCTCTCTCACAAATATCATGCCCCACTCACTGTATTAATACAAAAAAGATGAACAACACACGAGTGTTTTGATTGCACTTCTCTTCTTTGGTTGTCTACGTGGAAACAACAGCTAAATCTCAAGAGAAAAAAAGGATGGGTAAGAACATAAAAAAATCGAATTTATATCCAACGTAAGATATGATGCTGATAAAGACATCGTGATATAAAATATTAAGAAATAATAATAATAATAATAATAATAATAAAAATTAGCAGACTCTTTTTCCCATATGTAAAGGATAAGGGGAGGTAAGATAGTAGGTTGTCCCAACACCAGGTTGAGAGCAGTTTCCGTAGGAGACCTCCGAATTATGAAATGCCTTCCGTGGGACTCAATCCCACCCCGACCCCAAGATTAAAAACCTTGTGCTCTACCGACTGAGTTGGATGGTCATTTTAATAATAATAATAATAATAATATATGTCTATATTAGAGTATAAATTAAGTTGTAAAATATAGAATGTAAGAAGTCATTAAGGTAGGCTATTGGTCCATTTCACAATGAGCTGGAGGGCATCAATCACAAAGATTATTTTAAACAGATTTATTATATCAAGTGCAAGCTGAAAGTGAGGGACACGTGTGCATGGATATCACAGCAAATGCACGTGTAAAACTGATGACCAAAATCCAGGACCAAATACAAATTTGCTTAGGGAAATTTTGTTTTGGTAAAGATTAGGCTAGCAAATGGTCCCGACATTAACCCTCTTACTGAATCTACTCCTCACTTTGAAGTTTTGTCTTGGTTTATAATGTTACTAACAAAACTGGTGGTAGAAGAAAACAAGAAAAATGTGCTCAAATAAATCTTTGAAAATGTTCAAGATTTAATGGTCATCAATTCTCAGGGAAAGAAAGAAGAATAAAATAAAGGAATTTGCAAGAATTCTCTCTCTTTTTAATCAAAGAAAAATACTTTTTTCTTACAGGATTCCATAAAAAATAGATATAATTAGAGCTTAATTATTAGGTCAAAACAAGGATAAAGAAACACAAACCCATTTGCACCCCATTTATGTTCTTGTTTCTTCCTTCACCTTTTATGTGTGTTTTGATATATATACACACGGTAGTAAATAAGAATCAGAGTAAGATATTATATTAGGTAATAAATTTATAAAATTTATAAATTTATAAAATTTTAAAGTATATGATAATTATTTAAAAATTTTCGAGTAATTATCCTCAAATACCCTCAATCCACCCCTGATAGTAAATCATTACTAGTAAATTAGTAATAAGTTCATGGATTGTAAGAAATAGAAAAATCTCTAAAGAATACTAAAAAAAGGCCTTATGAAACATGGAGCAGAGGGAGAGATTTGTTTAAAGAGATTAAAACTAGATTTTTAACTAAATTTGGTTCAAGAGATGTCGATCCAATTTCCAGAAAGAACCGCACATATTTATATACCTCATAAGCAAATTTATAAGCTAGTAATGGTAATAGCAGAACAAACATTAATTAGCCGCAGTTCCACCAACGCCGCCGCTACCCCCACCACAATCCACCGTTTGAGTGGCAGCCACCGACACATTGACACCCACGACCGTAGTTGTGGCCGAAGTCCTTTTCCGCTTCTTCTTGTCGTAAGGGATGCCTCTAGCTTTAGCCTGCCCTTCTCTGACCTCCCTCAAATAAATCCTCACAGCCCTTGCCCCAAAAGGGTTTGATTCCGGAAGTCCACCGTTCTCCTCATAAGCAGCTCTCAGTCGTCCGATCAGCGCGTCGAGGCTACCCCATGCTTGCTTGAGTGGGCAAGAGCAAGGGGCAGGCGGGTTTGGGTGTCCGAAATAAGGACAACCCGTTTTGTGAACCTTAGTTTTGCCGAACTGGTCGAGGTATTTCAAGAACTCGATTACATGTGCACCACTGCAACGAACCAGTGTCAAAGGGGGCTTATGGTTGTTCAAGTACTGCAAGAAAGTGTTCCAGTCACGACGCTTTTGTGATTCGTACCGACTCCGTGGCGCTGGGGAAGAAGAAGTCGGCTCACTGCCTCCTTGTTGTGAAGCCGTGGGTGGCGTTGCTGTAGCTGAAAGTGGATCTTCGTTGATGATATTCCGGTCGGGTGCAGTACTCCGTTCTGACGCAGAATCCATCAAGTTTAAAACAAAAACTGCTAGGGTTTTCTACTACTCATGATCTTACTTTTAGTGATGACTGCGGTCACTAATTCTCTCACCTATTTTGTTGAACTTGGCATTAGCTTTCCTTTTTGTCTGAATCGCAAGTGAAGCTTTTCCAGGTAAATACTAAGCCATAACCATCAACAAAGTCTTTGTTAGTAGTTTATCTGTCTGATCAATTATCTAGGGTTCAAAGGAATAACTGGTAGTATATTTCCACAGGAAAGCCCTTCTGCTTTATAATTCGTGAGAGGGCGAAAGATCAAAGAATGAAGGAGACACCTGAAGAGAGAGAGAGAAAGAGAGAAGACCTATGAGAAGACAAAAAAATAATTCATACCACCAATACTAGTTTTTTCTATTGCAAAGTTTTGAAAAATGACTATGCTTAGTCGTATTCGTAATGATAATTTGGGTAAAACTATTCGTTTCACCAATATATTACTTAATTTTTGTTTTGGTAACTAAGTTATTAGTTTTTCATAATCATACCTAATATTTTGTTTTAATCATTTACAATTAAAAAATTACCGATGAAGATGAATTGTATTTTTTATTTTTTAGTGTCAATATGATATTATTTTACAGTGACACATCAATATTACTATTAATTTTTTATCAGATCAAAACGTAATGTTAGATATGGTTTTGAAAACAATAATAATTAAATGACTAAAATAAAAATTAAATAATATATGAATGGCCAAATAAAAGTTTACCCTAATAATTTTGAATGGGATTGAGAGAAAATGTGCGTACGTATAAATATTAAATTTTCAAATAGATCACATGGTGGCCCCCAATGGAATTTTTTCTAATTACCATCCACCACCCCGTCGGCCCCTCCACTCTCATATCTTTATATTCCATCATCAATCCTCAATCGCGTACAAAATAAAAGGATTATCGTTATTTATATTCAAGAGAATTAATTAAAAAAATATAAATTATATATATATATATTATTTTTATTTTTTATTTTTTAATTAAAGTATTTGTTTATTGTTTTCTCGTTATCATTTTATATGTATGGTCCATTATAATTGTTAAAAAGGCACACTTAATCACTCAAAATATGACATGCATTACGTTTATAATTTTTTTAAAATTTTACTTTTAAAAACTTTAAATTATTATTATTATTAAAAGTATAATTTCTCTAAAATCTTAAAAAACCTTAAAATTCATAATCCCTAATTTCTAACCCTTGATCCCTTTCTCAATGTCGGACACCATTATCATCGTCGAATCTTTACTCACCCGTCGTCAGGCTCTCACTATTAATCATCCCTCTATCTCGTCCTGATCTACTAATTCCACAAACTTAATTTGGAAATCATAGTTTTAGAGGTGTGAAAAATTAGAATTTTATTAATTTTGAGGTAGTTTTGTATAAAATAAGAAAACTAAGAGTTTTTTAAGTTTTTAATTTTATTTAAAATAAAAATAAAAATTAAGGTCAACTGATTGGTTGAATGATTTTTAATAATTTCTTTTGATTAATCTGGAGTAAGTATAAAGTAATATATGTTTAAAGATAACTCTCAATCATTTGACATTGAATGCTCACACTTCTAACATTCTTGGTGCTCGAACCCAAGACCTCAATGAATAACAACAATCTCTTTACCACTAAAGTTGTTCAGTTTGTGCTCTAATAAACTCTTTAATAGTCGTTAACGATCATTTACTTAAAATAGTAATAAATAAAACGTCAAGCATCTACCTTAAAAAATCTTTAAACATCTAAAGTTAATAAAACAAATAATTTATACATTTATTTTTTTAATTAAACCCTATTTATTTCTTATTTTATGGTCGACGGTTCTATTTTCATCTTGAAAATGAAAACGACTTTAAAATTTATGATCAGGTTTAACCCCTTCAGACTACATTACATGGAAAAGTGGATATTGATAAATTTAATTTGGGTTCTTGTTAATTTCTTCTTTTTTAAAAAAAAAGTTGATGTCCCAAACAAAATTTTAAAATATGAGAGGTTAAATGAGAGTTTAATTATAATTTTAGAGAACTTAATGAGATTTAACTAAAAATATTAAAACTTAATGCTTAATATGATTTTTTTAAATTGAGGGATCAAATTATTTTTTTAAAAAGAATGAAGGGCTTGTTAAGAGTTTTCTAAATGCTTGGGGGCCAAGACCTGACCCTTCTTATATTCCATCCTTGCTAATGGACTCCAATATTTTAAATTTTATAAAAAAAATTAAATTAACATGATATGTCTATATTAAAGTTACGGTACTCAAAATTATGAATTTGATTATTTAATTTATATTTGAATTAATATAATAAAAAATACATTTTGTCTATCAAAAAAAATAATTTTAATTTTTCCCTAGATATATTTTTTTATTTTATCCTTGAAATCAATCATCTTTAAAGATGATTTGCTCAACTTTAAGATGGACCGATCATTGATTAAATAATATTTTCCTGCTGATCTAAGTAGTGTTCTTTCTAAAATGAGGAATGAGGTGAGCTTTCTAAAATGATTGATCATACTATTGGTCTTAGGTCACTTTGAAAAAAATATCATTCAAGTTTTGTTTAACATTACATTTAAAAAATGTTTTTGAGATTAATTTTTAAATTCGTAATTAATATCATATAAACAAATTTTAAATAATAAAAATTAAAAAAATTAAATAAGCACAATAATCCTTAAACAATGCCAGGGGTTCAAATTATGACGTTTATGAATAGAATAAATTGAATTGAGAGGGTCACCCTCATATTGAACTTATATAATACTCAATCAAGATTAATCAATTAATAGGTCAAATATCGATAATTATAAAAAAATTCTAAAAACGATAAAATCGTAAATTTATTTTTTATAATTTTGTATCAACTTTAATGAGGATACATTAATATAAATTATATTTTTAAATAAAAGATGTTATTTGAGATGATCAAATATTTTAAGTATTATTTAAATTTAAATTTTATAATTACAGTTTTCAAATTAATTTAAAATATTTTAGTTTCAAAAAATTATTTATTATTACTTATATTTTTTCAAAAATATTTTATACTCTAAAAAGTATTTTTGGAAAAATAACAATAGTGAGCCAATCCTTTACAGTCCATCCCATTATAATGTATAAAATTTTATGGCAATTAATTAAAATGGTAAATTTAAATAAAATTACACAAAAAATTATCATAATGGTATCCAAATCATTATAATTTTTTTAAATTCTTTGTAACTTTCATTAACATTTTATGTAATATCGCATAAAAAATTATTACAACTTTAATAATATTTATATAATTGCATTTTTTTCAAATTCTTTACCTGAGAACTACCTATATAGTATTAGTTATTTGTATGGATGGACAAAAAAATTATGTAAAAAAATGAATTCATAAAATTTTAAAATAATAAAAATAGATTATCAATAAAAATATTAAAAAAAGTCTAAAATATTAAAGAATTTAAAAATTTTAAGAGATGATTGTTGGTAACAGTTAGGGGTGTGCAAATCCGGGTACCTGAAGTGTCGGGTATACGAATCTTCAGGTAATTGATTTCTTGACTCGTGTCCCGACCCAGATGTTGCGGGTACCCGATAATCGGGTACCTGTATTTCGGGTACCCGAATACCCAATTTTTTCCTTCAAATTATTAATTAAAAAAAACACACAAATTTAAATATATATATATAATATTTTTAATAATTAAATATATAATAATATAATATTATTTTATATATTAAAAAATCCCTAACCAGGTACTTAGATAACCGGGCAACCGAAAAAATTAAATTTTGTGACCCGGGCCAGACCCGAAAAATGTCGGGTCGGGTATCCCGACCAAGTAAATTTAAAAAAAATACTTTTTTTAGATTAGTCAACGGATCGACAAGTCAGGTCAACCGAATTAGATATTTTGCACACCCTAGTAACGGTTCTTGAATTTATCTCAAATTATTTGGGTGATGTAGAAAATAGAGAGAGAAGTGTCTTTAATCTTCCAATATTTATTTTTAGATTATTTGAAAGGTATGAAAATAAGGGTGGGTCCAATATAATAATTGACATCTTTGTTAAAAAAATGTGTTTATAATTCATTGATTGGTTGGTTAGGGCCAGTTAATAAATACCGAGACATGAGCAGTGAGATTCTAAATGTCAGTAGATATAAAAATTGTTATCAGAAAAAGTTAATGTGGATTGGTGGGAATAGGAACGCTGGCCTACCCTTTTGATTGTTCCTCATTTTCCCTCCACAACCATGCATCAACCCATGGTACTACATAATAAATTACAATTATTATTAGAGAAAATAATTTTACTGATCGAAAATGTCTTATAATATATGATTTTAACCAATTTTTTTTGGATTTGCGAAAATGACCAACAAATTCGCAACGCGAACTCCAATTTCACAACACAGTTCCAAATTCGCGATTTCTAAATTCGCAACACTGAATTTCAAATTCGCAACTCGATTTCTAAATTCGCAACTAGATTTTTGAATTCGCAACATGAATTTTAATTTCGCAACAAGTTTTATTTTCGCAACACAAATGTTTTTGGTATATAACTATGCAGCAGCAACAACTCATAACCTAAATCCCTAAATCACAACTCTTTCCATCTCCATCTATCACTCTCTCGGCGACATCCGTTCCTATATCCAACAACATCCTTCCTCATCTCTATTTTTTTTACATAATTTTATTTCTATATAATTTTTCAATGATTTCTCTCCCAAATTATCAACTATTAACTTAATAAAGGTATGTTTTTCTCTAAGTTAGTGATGATATGTAGTTTATAGCTCGTTTGTTTAGTAAATTAATTTACAATTTGTAGAATGAAATCATCTAATGTTGATCATGTTTGGATAGATTTGTGTTTTGGAGGGTCATGGGAGAATATTCATGGTGTTTACAATATATGCCTTTACCTATGAATCTTCAACTAAAACTGTCATTAAAAACGTTAACTTATGAAACTCTAATGTTACGTGTTGCAAAGAAATTGAATTTAAAGTCTCTAAGTGGATTTAGGCTATCTTATCAGAGAAAAGGTAAAGTTTATTTGTTAACCGACAATGAAGATGTTGAACGATTCATTGCTTACATTAGTGTTTCGCAAGAAGATGATGTTACATTGTATGTTGTTGAACCTAGAAGTAGTGAAGTTGGGTCAGTAGCGGGTAGTAATCAACTAAGTTCTTCAACCCCAGTTTATGGTGCTCACAATGTACAACGTTGTTATCAACCTCAAAATTTAATGGTTCCACCACAATTTTATCAC